CCTCCTTCTCCTCCTCTCCTCCTGTTCCTCCTGTTCCTCCTCCTCCTCCTCCTCCTCCTCCTCTTCGTCCTCCTCCTCCTCCTCCTCCTCCTCCTCCTCCTCCTCCTCCTCCTCCTCCTCCTCCGCCTCCGCCTCCGGCTCCGCCTCCTCCTCCCCCCTCCCCCTATTCCTCCTCCACCTCCTGCTCCTCCTCCTCCTCTCCTCAGGGAGGGGGGGGCATCGACCCGGAATCGGAGATGCATCGGCGATAGGCGCCCGTTCGTAGGCGGGGCGGACTATCGGGCCCCTATCGGCGATGAATGGGCGATTGGGGGTCGATGCGTCCCCCACCTGAGCCTATTCCCCCCTAGCGTTACCCCGTCCTCCTCCTCCCCCTTCGACCCCCTCCAGTGGCGGGCGCGCGCGGGAGAGGACAGGGAGTGTCGCTGCCAGGCGTGCTCCAGGTAGCGCTGAATGCGCATCGAGAGGTTCACGTCCACCTGGTTGTGCTTGAGGTACCGGCGGAGGTCCCAGAACTGCTTCGACTCCTCCTCGAGGCGGGGGGGAGAGAAGAAGATGAACAAAAGAAGAATGAGGAAGAGGAAAAGAAAACGGAAAAGAAAGAGATGGAAGAATAGGAAGAAGGAAAAGGAGGAGGAGGCAGAACGAAGAGAAGTACGAGGAAAAAAAGATCAAGGGAGGGAAAAGGATAGTAAAAAAAGGAAGACGGCAAGAAGGAGGATAAGGAATAGAACGAGGAGCAAAGGACAAGGAGACCAGGGAGGAAGCAGAGGAAGGGGGAAGGCAGAGAAGGAGGAGGGCCAGCACAAGGAGGAGAAAGAGGAGAAAGAGGAGAAGAGGAAGAGAGAACAAAAAAGATACGAGGACATGGAAAAAGTGCAAGGAAGAGGAGAAACAGGAATCAGAAGAATAGAAAAGGAGAGGGAGCAGGAAGCGGACAAGGCGGAGGAGGAAGGGGATGGGAATTGGATGGGACTCTAGGGGCGCCGAACAGATCGAACGCTCAGGTACAAACAGCCACACGAAAGATCGAGATCGAGATAAGGACAAGGAAGATACAGGAGGGGATTAGGAAGATAATGATAAGAAGGCGGAGAAAGACAAGGGGGAGGATGAAAAGGATGACAAAGGGAGTGAAATGTTACGCGTTCGGCCATGGAGCCCGTCTTACCCATGCGCCTCCGGTGGCATTCGGCAAAAATCGGTAACTGTTGCCGGTTTTCGGCGATATCAAAATATTTGGCGGGCCTCGGCGGGCGGTTGAAAAAGGGGCCATTATCGAACACCCCATGAAGAGCAGAAGGCGTAGGATTTCGAGAAAGAGGAGGAGGAGGAGGCGGAGGAGAATATCTTCAGATGTGATGATACATTCCTTCATCCCATAAGATTGCACCCAGAACCTCCCCCACAGAATTGCAGATCCCCACCCACGCTGTCACCACCCTCCAGAGCCCAAAGGGCGGCCCCAGACAGCCACCGAAATGGCCAAATATTGCTTGAGGTCCTCCCCGGGACGGGCCCCTGACCGCCAAAGAGTGCATATAGGTCGCCCCGCAGATTTCCAAAACGCTCTGGGGCAGTCCCAGATTGCCTCCAGACGGCTCAAGAAGCTACTCGGATTCCTCGAAATCGCACCCAGAGGATCCCCAAGAGGGCGCCAAGAGAAAAAAACACTGATGGTGCGACGATTGTCTAACAACTGTAGCGTTCTCGCGTTTGTTCTTTCGACCGCCCAAGACGACCCAAGAGGCCCCCAAGATCGCCCCAAGACGGACCAGAAGGGCCCCGAGACGGCCCGACAAGCCCCCCAAGAAGGCCCAACCCAAGACGCACCCAAAAGCAGCCCAAGAGAGGCACCCAATTAGCCGTGACAACCAACTGGCCCACACGAGGCCCCCAGAAGCCCCCAAGAGGCCCCAAGAGGCCCCCCAAAGGACCCAAACATGGTTCCGCAAGAAGCCACGGAGAGCCCTCGAATCATACCACCTCCCATGAGATGTGGGGGAAAGGGGGGGGGGGGGGGGGCATCACGCCGCCCCCCCCCCTTATAAAAGCTACCAAAACGGCCTCGGACAGCCCCCGCCTTCTTTTCCCAAGCCCCCCCCGACTGCCCCAGACCGCCTCCCACTGGCCCACGAGAGCCCACGATGGCCCCAAGGACGTACCAAAACAGCCCAAAAAAGACCCCCAAAACGACCAACACAGCCAAACACGGCCCCGAGAGGCGTCGCGATGGCTCGAAAGGCCCCAACACGGCCTAAGGACGCCCCGAGAAGACCCCGAAAATGCACGCACCCAGGAAGCCGAAATCAAAGAAAAACCGACCGGTGTCGAAAATAAATGGTGTGATCGCATGCTCGGAGTTCGCAGCCTCCAAAATCCCAAGGTCGCTCCAAGACGTCACACGAAGAAAATGAGTGGAGGCCTGGTGCCGCCAAAGAAGGGAATAGCCCCCCTTGAAGGGCCCCAAGACCGCCCGACCCAGACGGGCCAAAGTGGGTCCAAGCCCGGAAATGTTTTCCGAAGGAACCCAACACGGCCCAAGAAGGCTGCCAAAGAGTCCTAAACGCTCCAGCAAGTTCCGAAACGACTCCACTAGAGCCACTAGAGCCCGAAATGGTTCAAACGTGGTCCCAAAAACTTCGAATGCACGCAAGGAAATCCCAGTCATAGCCGCGATGGGCGGGGCGGGTTTCAAGGCGACCCAAAAAAAACTGCACAACTGCCCCACGCAGGCGGAAGGAGAAGAGAAAGAAGGAAGGAGGAACAGCAAACGGAACACTGGGACGAGGAGGGGGAGGAGGAAGAGAAAGAAGAGGAGGAGGAAGAGGAGGAGGAGGACGAGGAGGAGGAAGAAGGGGAGGAGGAGGAGGAGGAGGAGGACGAGGAGGAGGAGAAGGAGGAGGAGGAGGATCAATCATGCCAATCCGTTTTCTCGAATCCTATTATGTTGACCACTCTGCTCTGGCGCGTGCCGAAAGGGGACGTTCTGGGGCGCGCCGGGGGGCGCCACAAAAATATGTACCACCGTGTGGCGCCAGGGTGAGTTTGCAGCGAAACGTCCTGGCGTGTCACAAGGCTGGGTAATAAAACACAGCACCAACAAATCACGCAGATGCATGTGGGGATGGTAACGCACAAAATACCAGGGGGTGGCGGGGCTGTGGACGGCGAGAGAAAGGCTATGGAACGAAACCTACACTCTACTCGTGAATACCATGCATAGCATACCCATCAATCATGCCATTCCGTTTTCTTGAACCCTATGATGTTGACCATTCCGCTCTGACGCGTACCGAGGCGGGACACTCCGAGGCGCGCCGATGCGAAGCCACAAGAATATGCACCACCGAACGTAGCAAGACACACTTGCAGTTCAATGGTTTTCCCGACCAACTTCTGCTCTCACCCAGAGCACCACAGACATACACGAGCAGCTGGCGTTGCGCAAGACCCGCGAGAAATCCCTGTCGATGAAAATGAGAGTGGAAGCAAATCGGTCTGGATATGCAGCGGCCTGTTTTGTCCATCGAACACCAGTGGGGTCCGCCCCAGACAATGCGACATGAGGTTTGAGCGAGTACTTGTACGACTGGCACCCCAAACTCGAACATCCGTCTCTCATCTTCTCCATTCTCTCCAACCCAAGCGCCCACAGGGCCGTCAGTTTTCCAGCGGGCCCCAAAACCACACATGCGCGCAACCAGCGACTGCTGTTGGGGCGACGACTTCAGTCGGGGAGACGCAAGACTCGGGCACGGGGGGCTCGGGTTGACCCGGCGGGGGCCATCACACAAATGACGAGACCCAAGCTGAAATTTCACGCGGGCCCCCGCTGCCATGGGCTGTCGGGCACTGCTGCGCGCAGCGCAAGAAGGCGCTAACAGGGCGGCCGGGCACCGCAGGCGCCGAAGGAGACGCCAGACGCGCCGCCGCACAGCTCGATGCCCGACATCTCCTGCAAGCCCCTGGAGAACGTCGCTGGCGAAGGCGCCTACCCCACGCCGGCGGGCGGCCTGGCTGTAGACCGCGAAAACAAAGAAGGCCTCGGTCGCGAAGATGCCCCGCCGCGCGGCGCGCCTCTGGCGGGCCGGAGCCGGCGACTCGCCGAGAGCATGGCCATCTCGAGATCTCGGGCGCTCCGGTTGCAGAGCGCCTTGGACCGATCGCCCAGGTTGTCGCGGACCTCCTGGACTAGGGCTCGCCGCTCGCGCCTCAGCGCCAAGGGGGCGGTTCCCCGGCGGCCCCCGCGCAGCGCCACTTCACGGTCCAGCCTGTCATCGGGCTCGTCCAAGCTGGCGCCTGAGCGGCGCCCCACGCAGAGCACGGGCCCCGGGCTACCAGCGCCCGCCACGGCCGCGACGGCGCGGAGGCTGGCGCACAGCCACTTCTGGGCGAAATCCAACGGGGCCCCGTTTTGACGAGGCCCACAGGCGGCAAAGTGCATCTGGACGTCGGGCGGCCATGGCCCACTGATGACCCAGATCGTCGACCGCCCCGACCCTGCTCGGCTGCCCGCGTTCAGCCGGGCGCGCCGGGGTCGCCGCCACGGCCGCGCGCCGCCGCGACGCGGCCCGCAGCGCCTGGCCCACCTCGAGGTCCAGGCGCCCACCATCAGCAGCACGCACAGCGCCATCCCGACGCCGCTGACCCGAGGGGGCCGAGGGCGATCGCCGCCACCACCTCCATCGGAGGCGGGCGCTGCGTCCGCCGAGGCGCCAGCCGCCGCCAGCCCCGCGAGGGCGGGTCGCCCGCGGGGGCGGCATCATGCCATCGGCGCTGCACACCGGCACCACACACTGACCCGCCGCAACCAACTTCTCCCCCGCCGATGGGGCCTCGCCCCCCAGGAAGAGCCGACCGAAGAAGCAGACGATCTGAGGTCGCGATCCCCTGGCGGGCCTGGAAGTCCGCGAGCAGCATCGCGCGCTGACCCCACGTCTGCAGCGCCAGGGGAACTCTCGACGACGCCGGGCCCCCCCGTCGCGCCCCGAAGCTCGCCGCGGGTCGCCCGCCGCCGAGCAGCGCGGAGCCCCTGCATCTTCGGCTCCTTCTCGCGATCGACGTTTTTGGCCTCCAGCAGCCCCAGGATCAGGCGACCCGGAGCGGCGCCCCCAGCTTGCTGGCCCGGCGGCGAACCGCTCGACCGCCTGGGAAAGGACAGGGGGGCCACGGCAGCCTCCGCGTCGGCGGCGCCCCGCCTGTGACTGGGCCGCCTCTGCGCCCCCTCCGCAGGCGCCCGACGTCGGCGCCAGGTTCAAGTCAGCAGGTGGCCACCTGCACGCAAATCCTGATCGAGCAGCTAGGAGCCCACGCGGCTGCCCCACGACGAAACACACGAAGACGCGGGCCTCGACACCCTCTCGACGACGACAAGATTAGCCCAAGATTGTCCGGAAGCCAAGATTCCCCCCCACCCAGAAGGGCCCTGAACAGCCTGTCGAATGGCACCCAGACAGCCACGAATTTCGGCAATACGCATTGCCTCACGGGCGAAGACAGGCTGGCAACGCTCGACAAACCACTGCGA